TAGTGGTAAAGAATCTGCCTGCCAATACAGGAGATGCAAGAGACATGGGTCTGATACCTGGGCTGGGAAGATCCCCTGAATCTTCAAGCTGGCTTGAAACTCAATACTTAAAAAACTAACATCATGACATCCAGTCCCATCACTTCATGGCAAATAGAAGGGGAAAAAGCATGAACAGTGACACGTTTTATTTCCTTCGGCTCCAAAATCACTGTGGATGGTGATTGCAGCCATGAAATTAAAAGACACTTGTTCCTTGGAAGGAAAGCAATGACAAATCTAGACATCATGTTAAAAAGCAGAGACATCATTTTGTCGACAAAGCTATGGTTTTTCCAGTAGTCATGTAAGGATATGAGATTTGGACTATAAAGAAGGCTGAGTGCCAAAAAATTGAATACTTTGGAATTATGGCGCTGGTTAAGACTCTTGAGAGTTCCTTGAACTGAAAGGAAATCAAACCAGTCAATCCTAGAGGAAATCAGTCCTGAATATTCATTGGAAGAACTGATGCTAAAACTGAAGCTCCAAACTTTGGCCACTTGATGCGAAGAGCCAATTTATTGGAAAAAAACTGATGCTGGAAAAGATTGAAGGCAAAAGGAGAAGGGGGCGGTGGAGGATGAGATGGTTAAATTGCATCACCAACTCAATGGACATGAGTTTGAGCAAACTCTGGGAGATAGCGAAGGTCAGGGAAGCCTGGCGTGCTGCAGTTCATGGGGTTGCAAAGAGTTGGACACAACTTAGCAACTAAACAGTGAAAATAGCTCTTTCACTGAGCACAGTGCCTGGCACGTGGTAGAAACTCAAAAACTTTCTTGAGAGCATGAAAGCACTAGAGAGGAAGTCCTAAGCTCTGGCTCCTGTGGCAAAGACTACTTTAGTTAATGCTTCTCCTCTGTATTTCCCAATCTCCTCTATCATATTATGAGATGTCATGTAATCAAATTCTGACTGATCAGTGGGGTGAAAGGTATGTACTGTTTTCATCCATGGCCTCAGAAATGTCACAAATGGTCTTCAATCCCCTCTCTTTCCTCTGTCTCCATGGCTGAAAGCAAAGGAGTCTCAAGACAGAAAAAGCCCAGATTCCTGATTACAGATGAGCTGCCCACCCAGGTTCTCTGACCCTCCTTGAACTATAATAGAAGCAAGATATACTTTTATTGAGTTAATCTCAGAGGTTTGAAGTTACTTGTTACTGCAGCAAAACCTAATCTACCCTGATGGAAAACACCTTCCCATCTCTGCCGTTCACTCCTTCTACCCTGAAACCAGCCACAATCTCTCCAGTCTCCAGGCTTCCTCTTGGTAAAATAAAGGAATTCCACACAGCGATCTCTGAAATCCTTCTGATGCTAGAATTCAGTTGTTCTGCTTGTAAGTTTCCTCCCTCCTGCCAACCACTATAGGCAGACATCATAAATGTTTGCTAAATAAGAGTACCTCCTATATTTGAAATCCTTCCCCCAAGTTAAAAGCATTTTAATATCTTAAAAATTCAAAGCAGTTACTCAGAATACTTAAACAAAAAAATTCAACATCCGGCTTGTAAATATGCATCAGAATAGCAACAATGGCATTTCATCAAGAGGCTGGGGAATCTTCAGAGATCTACTCCTCAGCCTTCCAGAAGTCACCCCGCCCCCAGCACCGCTTCCAAACCCGAACATCCTGGTCTGTCTGCCCTTGGCATTCTGGTGGCCCCAGCATTCCAATTATTTGTAAACCTCATCCTCAGACTGTCTTAGTGTTCCACGCTGTCAACTGCCTTTCTCAATAGATGATCTCATTTTTCAAAGGATCACACTAATGCCTTTTCTTAGACAGTTGTCATTAAAGGCTGCTGCCTGGGTATCAGTAACCAAGAAGCAAAAGTCACATCTTTGAAGAGATGTGGCCAAGGTGACCCAGGGCCCTAATGACTTAACTGGGTTTCAAATCTCCGGAGGTCTAGCCGAGCTCGGCGATGGGTTCACTGTTTGTGAAAGAGGCAAAAGGCACTCTGTTCTTCTTGGACTGGAGTCCCTCTTCTTGTTAAAAATGAAGGTCACTGCAGCTGCTAACATCTCAGTAACCATAGTAACAAGGGACCACATGACAGATGTCTGATCCCCATCAGAAAATGTCTGATAGTAAGTGTTCTTCATCCTTTTCCTCACCCCCACCCCAGGTCTTGTTAGGTGGCATTGAGGGTCTCCCAGGGGAGCAGCTCAGGCATGGGAAATCCAGACTGACAGCATTAATTAAACCTCTTATTTCCCCAGGACATTTTGCATTGCCAGGCTCGGGAGCCAAGAAAGCCTCCCAGGGAAGCTCTTATGAGAGAGAATGCTAAGTCTATCACCAGGGACTAAGGCACTTCAGCTCCACAGATGGCAGCAAATGAAGCTCTGTGGGAAAATGCGCCCAGGCATACAGCAGGCACAAAATAAATACTTACAGAAGAGTCCATTTAATCAAATGGAGCTCATTTAGCAAATGGGATTCCTTTCAAGCCACTGGAAGTTCCACATGAGGTGGTGAACCATTCACCCTTTCAACAGTTATTGAGTGCCTGCTGTACATACTCATGGCTGACAGTATGGAAGCCCTAAAGATACGCACTTGCTGACTGAATCCAGTTGTCCCCGGGAGTGTCTGGGGCTCGAGGGAAGGTTGGGAAGTGTGTAGAGGGTTGGGATCACATCACAAAGGGCTCTGGATTCAACTGGAGTCTCTCGGGTTTATTACTGGAGAAACTGTGAAAGCTTTTATATGTGTGAGTGACAAGTTCAGCGTTGCATTTCAGAAACATCCCTTTGATGCCCTGCAGAGAAATGAGATGGTTGGATGGCATCACCGACTCAATGGACATGAGTTTGAGTGAACTCCAGGAGTTGGTGATGGGTAGGGTGGCCTGGCATGCTGCAGTCCATGGGGTCACAAAGAGTTGGACATGACTGAGTGACTGAACTGAACTGAGAGAAAGGATTAGAAGGAGACGATTGCTTTGACCAAATAAATGATGTTCTAGGACTGATGAACGCAGGCCTTAAGAGAACTGGCAGCTTCAGCTTCTTTCCTCGGAACATGGCTGCGATGCTGTGAGAAGCTCTGGTTGCATGAGGAAGAACCCAAGTCCTCCGTACACAGCCCAGGTGTGCTCTGAGCAATAGCCAGCACCAACCACTTGCCATGAGGTATGTCATCTTGGATGTTCCAGCCCAGCTGACCATTGTCCCACGAGATACCATGTTGAGCAGGAAAACTGCCCAGCTGAGCCCAGTCAACCCACAAACCGCATGAGAAGTCACAAAAGAATTGTTCTAAGCCACTACATGCTGAGTGGCTTCAGTCATGTCTGACTGTTTGCGACCCCATGGGCTGTAGCTCACAAGAATCATGGGATTCTCCAAGCAAGAATAGTGGAGTGGGTTGCCATTTCCTTCTCCAGGGGATCTTCCCAATCCAGAAGTTGAACCTATGTCTCCCACGTCTCCTGCATTGCAGGCAGATTCTTTACCCACTGAGCCACCTGGGAAGCCCTCTAATACACTAAGTTACGGGTTTATTATTCAGAAATGGATAACAAACACTGGGAGGTATCAGATGTTGGTCACGCCTGCATCTCAACAGTAAAGGTCTGGCTAGAATGATCATAGATTTGGGAGTCATCAGCCTCATGGGACGTTTAGAGCCCTGTTTGGAATGAAATCACCTCCACTCCTCACATGTGTCCAGGGTGCTTAGAGGACCGCCAAGTCACAGCAAATGCTTACTGAATTAAATGAAACATTCCACATAATGAAAATCACTGGAAAGCCCTGTTTGCGATCTGAGACAACCCTCCTTATGCCTGGAATTCTAATTTTCCCTCACTCTAAGCACACTAAATTTCTTTCTCTCTCTCTGGATCAAAATGTGGACTCCTAGCTGCTGCATTTGATACTCTTTATCCCTCTAAGGTAAGTCCTTTCCTTTGGGCATGTGGACTTGAAACCTGCAAACTTGAGTTTGGATTTTTCAACCTGCCCCACGTCCCCTCTGAGTCTAGGCTTCCTCATCTGTAAATGGAGATGAGAATACATGCCAATCTCACCGCTAAGGAAGTGCAGATGTGAAAAGAATCATTGCAATCATCCTCTCCAGGTCAAGATAGGTATAGTCTCAACCCCAGGCATGGCATCAATGCCCTCTACCTGGCTGCCAGTCCCTCTCCCTAGTAGTAAACACATGGCAATTTCGGGAGATGGGAAATCTCCAGCTTTTTGTGTTTGAAAAAGCTCTTGCAGGCCTCGATTTTCCAGCCTCCTTGGCCAGAGGGTGAACAAAGCTTTTTTGTTCAGTCCTTAAGTCATATTAGACTCTGTAAACCCATGGACTGCAGCATACCAGGTTTCCCTGTCCTTCCTTATCTCCCAGATTTTGCTCAGATTCATGTCCATTGAGTTGACGATGCTATCTAACCGTGTCATCCGCTGCTGCCCCGTGCTCCTTTTGCCTTCAATGTTTCCCAGCAACATCGGGGTCTTTTCCAAGGAGAGCGCTCTCTGCACCAGAGTTAGTAGTCTGGTAAACGACCCCCTATCCAGACAGAGCCGCAGGCCAAGGTTTGAGTCCTGGTTTGCCGCTAACCTAATGCACAGCGTGACCTTGGCGAGCTCCTGCTCTTCTTGGACCCAAGTGTCCTACGGAAAGCGTAAAGCGTGAAGGATGGATCGAGAGGAGATGATGGTGCACTCAGGTTCCTTCCACCTGAGCGGATCTGCCTTGGGCCGGGGTGGGGGGTCGGGTCACGTGCTGGGCTGACGCGGTGCCGAGTGCGGGCGCACCGGCCAGCTCCGGGTCCAGCCTCCCGCTCTGACGTCCTCGAGCCGCCCTCCCTCCCCGCCCCTCCGCCCCTCCGGCGGCGGCGGCGGCGGCGGCGGCGGCGGGAGAGCGGCTGGAGCGGCTGGATCCCAGGCCGGGGAGGCGCGCGGCGGCGGGACCGAGCCCGGTGCGGGGAAACGGGCACCATGGTGCTGTCGGTGCCGGTAATAGCCCTGGGCGCCACGCTGGGCACGGCCACCAGCATCCTCGCGCTGTGCGGGGTCACCTGCCTATGCCGGCACATGCACCCCAAGAAGGGAGTGTTGCAGCGAGACCTGGAGCCCGACCCGGAGAAGGCGAAGCCCAGCGTGCTCCGGTCCGCCCAACAGGTGAGCGGCGGCGGGCCTCGGCCTCCCCGGGCCTCGGGTGGGGGTCTCCCGGGCGGCTGCGGCGCGGTGGAGTGGGTGGGAAGGAATGGTTGGCGTTCTTCTTTGCGCGACAGAGCCCGGCTGGGAGTGGGGACAGCGGATGTGTTCGGATAGCGGATGTGTTCAGAGACCCTGGGGCGGGGGGGTCCCAAAGGCCTGGGTCGGCGGTGGGTGGCTGCAGTGGCGGCTAGGGTACAGGAGGAAAGGGGACCGCAAGCCTAAAGGTGCCGGCATGGGAGTGAGTGGGAAAGGGGGCTTGGATAGGAATCGGAGCTGGGAGGAGAGTTGGGGGCCGGGGGGGAGTAATAAGACAGGGGGCTGTGAGGGCATGGGGCAGGGGGCTGGGAGGCTTAGGGGAGAAGAAGAGGGGTGACCGAGAAGGAGAAGCCCCAGGAACGGGGGAGAAGAGAAAGGGTGACCGGGAACAGAGTGGGGCCGCTGTGCCGCTGGCTCAGGGGAACTCACTGACCTAGCTGAGAGGGGAGAATGGAAATGGACAGAGGCGGCAGCTGGGGGCTGCAGTGGGCGCGGGGGAGGGGGCAGTTGGGCTGGGGGTGCTGGGGTCTGGAGAGGCCGGTGAGTATGGAGGGCCTGGGCGACCCTCACCCCCTCCCAGCAGCCTGCAGCTCCAGCCAGCCTGAGGGAGCAGCTCTGAGCCGCCCTCCCACCCCCCACTCCCCAACGATGTGGCTGCAGATGTCTCTGGAGACAGCAGGGCTTTTATGGCCACATGAGCTGGTCCCCCCGGGGCTCTCTGGGCAGAAAATGGGTGGAGTCCCCATTGTACAGTGCAGCTGAAGGGGGTCTGAGAAGGGTTTGGGAGGACTGCCCTAGGTGGGCTGTGAACTCCAGGACGCATCCCCGAAGTGGCAGAGGTGAAATGTCCTCTGGAGACCCGGGAGGAAGGGTCTGGCCAGAGAGACTGGAGGAAGGCAGGCGCCCGGGGGAAGAGGGAGGTGACTTAACGACTTCCCTGGGCCCCCTCGGTTCCTTCCCGGGCTGAGAGTTCCAGGAGTGGCCCTACAGAGCCGTGCCTCCGCCTTCCTTTTGCCAATCAATTATTCAAAAGCCCAGGCCCAGCTGCAGGGCCCTGTGTCTGTCACTGTGAGAGGGGAAGGAAATGGCTGCTGTCCTTGAGGCACTTAGGATCCCAGCAAAGTGACATTGATGCCGGCAGGATCCGGGGTCAGCTGGGCAGGGGCATGTGGGATCCAGAGCCGTCTGAAATGGGAGCAGCGGGCTGCCCACAGGGCCTGGGCGGGAGGCGAGGGCGGGGGGCTGTTGTACAAGCTCTTCTCCGAACACAGAGGCCTCAACCTCCTCTCCCACTCGGCACACCTGAGGGACAGCCATTCTTCTGCCTTTCACCGGGGCAGCTCTTCAGGCATTGTCCCCTCTCCCCTTCCCAGAAAGAATCACTGGGACCCCTGTGGGTGCAAATGACCTCGGGGATCACTTCCAGCTCTTTGTCTTCTTGAGGACCTGTAGCCCAAGCAGCAGCCAATGATCTGTTAAAGACAAACCAGATCCTGCATCTCCCGGGCTTAAAATCCTCCCCAGCTTCTCACTGAGCTTTGGAGCAGACCACAGCACACAGTAGCCTGGCACGTGCCTGGGGCTGGGCTCTGCCCTAAGTGCTTTACACCTAATGCATTTAGCCACTCAGTGACAGACATAGGCGATGATCCCAACTTAAAGATGAAGCGGCTAAGGTTCAGAGAAGGTGAGTGATTTTGCCCAGGGCCACACAGCCCGAGAAGTTTCCGAGCCTAATTCCAAGCTGGTCTGGTCTGGAGTCCGTGCTGTGAGCCTCTCCGCCGCATGGCCTTGCCTGTCTGATGTGGCCAGTGCTTACCTCTCCAGCCAAGCTCATGTGAGTGCCCTGCATCACGGGTGCTCTCAGCTCCCCTGGGTTTTTATCCTTGAAGGCACCAACCCCTCCCGTTTTCCTCTGGCTCTTCACAGAGATGGCTCCTCCTCATCCTGTGGGTCTCTTTCTGTTTGCAGTTTACCTCTTCAGGGAGAGGATTTTGTCCATGGCCACATATAACAAAGCCCCTTTCCCCCATTATACCCTCCATACTATTCCTTCTTATTTCTGTTTGTATCATTTGTGACAGTTGGATGTGATTTTTCGTATCTGCTGACTTACAATATTCACTCCCAGCACCTTCTCAGTGTCTGAAACCTAGTAGGTGCCCAAGGAGAAATTATTGACTAATATTAAGGCATCCCCAGGCCCAGCCATTGGGGATTATTGTCTGAGTTATTTCTTCAAATGTAGATGTATTTTGCAACCACTTTGCAACCCAGAACTGGCTCATAGGGTCACAATAAATGCTTGTTGATATGTGCATGCTCAGTCACTCAACCATGTCCAATTCTTTGTGACCCCATGGACTGTAGCCTGCCAGGCGAATTCTGTCCATGGGATGGTTTAGGGAAGAATACTAGAGTGGGTTGCCATTTCTTTCTCCAGGGCATCTTCCCGACTCAGGGATGGAAGCGGCGTCTCCTGCCTTGCAGGCAGATTCTTTGATGCTGAGCCAACAGGGAAACCCCTGTTGATATGTGAGACTCATCCATTCACATCCCTCACTTGGTTCCCTCAGTGACAAGGATTTGGGCACCTGGATGTGAATCCGTAGGTGTGAACGTGATGAAGATGAGCTCTCACAGTGTTAGTTTGGCTGCCATTGTGCTCAGACTGATTCAGCCGCTGACCCAGATAAAGTACGCAGAGAAAAAAGACAATGTGTTGACATTTCAAAAAAAGTCAAGGGAGGTGGTGTTAGGGCAGATGGCAGCAGGGCGATGGGCTTGGCACATTGACAAAGAGGAGAAGAGTCTGGTAAGGAAGGTTCTCGGAAGATGCTTCTTAAACAGAGAGGGCGTTGGGGCTGGGGAAGAGGGTTCTAGATTCCTGTAACCAGGAGAACTGGGGTGTCTGTGAGAGACAGAGTGACTGCTCATGTCTCTGTAAGTTGCTGATTGTGGTTGCTGAAAAAATTCCTTGGATTTGTTAGCTGTGCCTGGGGAATCTAATTTCTGGCCAGCTGAAGTTAAAGTTTATAGTGATTTTGAAAAGAACTTGAAGTTTTCCTTGAGGGTTCTTCACCCGAGATCCACAGATCCCAACAAGGAGTCTGTAGCTAAAATGGAAGGGGTTCATGGTCTTGGAGAGGAAAAAACTCTCTCTTCATTTTCATGAACCTCTATGTGAAACTTAGCATTTTCTGTAAATAGGAGTATAAACAACACATCACCGGAGTATGAACAATGTCTGTGACTTGGTCCTCGAGGGAAATCACAGGTAGTTTCAGAGTACCTCACAGCTGCAGCAGATGCTTTACGAGAGTGTTTATGCTCATCCCTAATTCTAAATTATGTACTTATTAAATCTCCCGTGAGATCCTTTTATTTAATGAAAGAATAAAGAGGCATATGTGTAGCTATTTCCCCGATTGATTTTATTAGGTGGACTGTTGTAGTCCTATGTCTTTTATTCACTGCTTTTTCAAGCACTCGGAGGAGGTACCATAGGCTTCTCTAGACGACCGTAGGAATTCATCCAATGTCTCTGTCGAGTAGGAGGTGGCCGAGGTGCAAACCCTCACTGCTGTTCATGCCTCCAGCTGGCTTCAATTCATTCTTTTTCTTGGTTTTTCCGAAATGTACATTGTGGACCCTTTCATCCTGCCTCCTTACACAATCGCTCACCCCCTCCGCCCCCTTATGTGCATGCAGTTCTTTATGGAGGGGGGAGAGGGATTCAGTCTCACTACGCCATCCTTGTGACCTGGTACCATCACCTGGGACCTCACTCTGTTTTATCAGCCCAGCTTTCAAAGCTTGGTTATTATGCAGTGATGGCTGAATGCTTGAGCCATGAGACAGAGCGGAGGGTCAGACATGGCATGTGTGTGTGTGTGTGATCATTTTTAATTCACTGCTGCTGCTGAACCTATTAGTGACAGGCAGCAAGACCCGTTGGTTCCATCCCCCAGAGTTTCCTTTTCATGCTTTTTGCCCAGGCTGCCACTCACTGCATTTCTGGGTCCTTGCAGAGGAAACCCTCCTTTTGGTGACCCTAAATAACTACTGAGTGAGCGGGGGAGCTGTCCTTCCCCAAGGCTCGGTGCCCCTGACACCTCAGTGTGACTTGGGTCCTGTTTTCAGAAAGCTTTAGTTTCAGTGTCTGATTTTCCTTCCCATCTGGCGCTTCCTTTGTTGTCCCCTTATGTGAATCTTCTCAGATGCATCTCAGAGGTTCCCAGAGTAACCCTGCTGCTGTCCCCTTAAAGCTAACATGTGGTCAAAGGCTTCCTCCGAGGGCCCCCCAGCAGTGGTCTCCGGGTCTCTTCTATCCACATCTGCCAGCTCCCACTGCTACATACTACCAAATTCTAAAATCCTACCTTCCTTCCAGCAGAGTTGAGAAGCAAAGTGACTTTTGATGAAACACTGTGTTAGTTCATTCAGGTTATTGTAACAAAATACCACAGAGTGGGTAGCTTATAAACAAAAATTTATTTCTCATGGAGCTAGAAGCTGGGAAGTCCAAGATCAAAGCTCTGGCCAACCCAGTATCTGGTGAGGACCTGCTTCCTAGACTTTTGGCTGTAACCTCACCGGTTACAGTGTACGGTACAGCTGTACAGATTCCCCGGTAGCTCAGCTGGTAAAGAATCCACCTGCAATGCAGGACACCCCAATTGGTTCGATTCCTGGATCGGGAGGATCTGCTGGAGAAGGGAACTGCTACCCACTCCAGTATTCTTGGGCTTTCCTGATGGCTCAGCTGATAAAGAATCCATCAAATCCAGAAGACCTGGGTTTGATCCTTGGGTTGGGAAGACCCCCTGGAGAAGGGAGAACTGCTACCCACTCCAGAATTCTGGCCTGGAGAACTCCATGGACTGTATAGTCCATGGGGTCGCAATGAGTCAGAAACGACTAAG